CTCCGTCTTGACGATAGGATTGCCGCTTTCTATCGTTCAGTCAACACAAAGCTTTGATAGCGACACAATTCGCAATCAAACACTTCAACAATTTTGAAGTGAGTTCAAATACATCACGCATCCCATGAAGGGACGGCCTTTCAAGAAATTGACCGTCTCTTAATCGTAGAATGGCTCACTCTACCTACACCTACATTCTACAGTCCTTACACTTACGATCGGAAGAAACCCGAAACGGCGGCGGACGCGACATTCGTTCATAGTCAGAGACGGAATATCTGTTGAACTTAGCCAGGGACCACAACTGAAATGGAAGTAGAATCGAGGACAGGAAATGGGCTTACAGTAGCCATAATATAGGCATTGAGAACACACAGTTTTGTGGATTTCAATTTACTTCTTGGATCTTGTAAGTTAGATAATGATTACTCTCAAGCTATCCACTTTTTATGGACCCTTATTATCCATAGGCTTATTGTGGTATGAATGTTGATTCCGCAGAAGGAAAATATATTTCAATCCATGAGCGTTAGTTACTGCAAACAGAACACACCTCAATCTCAATCGCGGGCATTCTTTCATAGAGATTTTCCAGTAATTCTAATGTTGGACATTTGATTCATGACGCATTTCTGATGATCTGACAAACCATCCGTTCTACATGCCTTCTTACGGTTAGGGAGGGGGTAGCTAATTAAGCTGACGAAGAAGATGTCCTCGTGACTATTCATAACGACATTCTTACTGAAGAGTAAAGCTTTTGACATTAACCAATCCCATTCTGGGATACATCCCCGCATTCGACTTCCATTCGAAATGATAATGTCGTATCGAATAAGTACGTGGCCTATACAATGAATTGCGGTGGCCAACCGGTCCACAAACCGGTGCTTTTATCCTCTCAGACGGGTCTGTCATCAAATAACTGACCCCGTAAGGATGCAAGTCTTGGCTGGCTTGGGCAGGATGCAACTTGGAATGGAACCCGGACCACATACTTGCCACTATGCCACCCTGCTTCTTATTATTAGTCTCTAAAAATACTGAATCGTCAAGGATCCCGTCACAGGCATAGGTCTCCTTAACTCTCTCGGCCCATAACTGCACCCATTCTAAAGAAGGCAGTTCTCTTTTAAAATGGCTTCAGCTACGGGCCGAGCCAGGAAAGACCCCTGTCCATCAAGAGACATAGACATCTAAAATCTAAAATGGGAGCAAATGCCCATAAACCCTATTTAAATCCTTACAGAAAAACTCGCCCAGTCAGCGAACATTTATATTACTCGCCGGCATGGGGTTCCTCGAAAGTGATGGACTGCTCAAAATTCTGGGAGAGCTGCAGAACTGCCTATGAGAGTTTTCATCAGTAACGAGGCAACCTTATCCTGGCCGACGATTCCTTCCTGTTTTGACTATCTTAAATCATATAGAAGGGAACAAATTCCCAATTCGAAATTGCCAGACCCACGCCCTCTATAAATACGCATCTCCACTATTTGGTAGGGTAAAGGCCTAGGCAATCACGGATTCCATAGGAATGAATCCTATAATTAATCGCGTCGGCTGGAACAGCCACGGAAATTTTTTCATAAATCTGGTGCCACGAGTTTATTCATGGCGCATTCCAGATGACCTGACAGACCATTAGTTTTACCTTTTCTCTGAAGAATAGCTACTAATTAATCTGTCTAAAAGGACGTCATCATCTTTCCATTGACGAGGAGTACCATTGCACCTTGTGACTGACTATTCATCAAGGCCTTCTTATTATCTCAAACCAACTGATCCTCATAAATATACGTCTGTAACCAAAAATAACTAAAAAGTAAAAAGGGTAAATCGAAGTAAGTCAACCGGGTCGATGACGCACGTACAGTATTATGCACGAATGCACTGGACAGAAATAACTCCGTCGGGTCGGTGACGGGGGAGGATATGAATAGGCGACTAATCCCTTTTGTTCCACTTCAGATCAGGTGACTCTGAATCGAAAAAAAAGCGTTGCGGAAGATAAAAAAGGATCATAGCACCTGATCAAACCACATTTTCCTGATTCTATAAAAAATTTCGAAAAAAAGTTTATTTACAACATTTCCACAAATGCTGATTCCTTATAAATAGCATGACATCAGTGTACACAAACACATTTTCAAACTGAAAACAAAGTCCATTTGGCATTAGGAGGATGGAAAGAAAAGGGCGATAAAAAGAAAGAATGGCGGGAGGTAAAAGGAAATAGCATTATTGACATAATCCATGATTCATTCCATTTAATAAATGCCACCCACCATCGCCCACCAACTCCATAATTTCTGATTTTTCAAACTTTCCTAGTATTTCATTGAATACACTGACATTTCTGGTGCTACTGATAGCAATACTAGGTGGCATTCTCTACGGAAATCCAATTTTCTGAAAATTAAATCATAATTTAAAGCAAAGTAAGAAAGAGACATCAAAAATTGCAATTATCGTACCTAACAATCTGAAAATGTCAGTAAAATTCGTATAAATGCCAAGATACATTGGAAAAAAGTGCGAAATACAATAGAATGAACATTGTAAAAATGATGTTCAATAAAATGAAAGAAGGAACAACCCATGATGGTAATTAACTTTAAAAAAAACTGGTAAAACAACAATTTAGTAACATTGGCACGATTTTTATGCTCAAACGTGATTAAAGCTATATCGAAAGCCTGAACCCTTTCTTCGGAGAATGAAAGAAAAACGTATTCAACGCTGGCAAATGAAAATTCCAATCAAACTGGTCAAACAGACAGTGACAAATTATGAAAAATACAAAATATTGAAGCTTGCGTTGGTTTACTATACTGCTGAAGAACGGGTGACTCCGGGAAAGAAGTAGAACTGCTTTAGAAGACGTGAATGAAATTCGGGCATCTGCAAAGAAAAAGAAATTGATAAAATAAATAAGAATTAAAAGAAACAGAAACGGAATTGTCACAAATTAGATTGTTTTGGAGGAGTAAGTATGAGCGGACGAATCCAGCCTACTCTATTTCCTAATTTTTTTTTGAAAAATCTGTCCTGCCTTTCATTTCCTGAATCCTAGTTGAAGATACTGCCCCAGAAGGATAGGAAGATCACCTCATCGAAGGGGAGGATTGTCAGAACTTTAAGCAAGGCCAACAAGGTTGGCGAAATATGGACAAAATTTTGGCTACAGACAGGATTCGATCCCGTATTTGTGCTTGGCAGGTACCGCGATTTGTTTACTTGTCATTAGTTTTGCCCATGACTCGCCTACCTTGTGAGACTTTCGGATAGCATACAGCGGAGAAATAACACCAATTAATAAAACATTAAGTCAAAATAAGTTATTTGGCCAGCGCCCAAAGTCAAATCTATGAATACTATAGGCGCACACCAAAACAACCTTCCCACCAAGCTTAGGGAGCTCGAGATTCATCACTATGTCCATTTTTACACAGTTTTTTCATCAAGAACTTCTATGGACGCCTCGTTGACCTGACATCCCATTAGGCTGTTTTTACGCTACAAAGAATCCCCAATAGAAAAATAATGAAAGAGACTAAGGGGATAGGGAAACTGCTTCTCTACGTCCCCTTCACTTTTCATCATCTTCTGGTTTCTCTACTTGGAAGAATATTCCTGTTTCAGCGTTAGACGCCAGTCGCTGCCAAGTATAAATGCAGCTCACTTATATTCCAGTCCGAGCATGCGTAAATTGCAAAAATGTGCAGGAATCCTTAGAATATAGGCTTCATCTACATCTTGAGACCTCATTGAGATGGTTATTCAACTGGGAAGATAAAATAGGAAACCATCTATGAATAGCGTAGATATAGACAAGATTAGCGATAACTAGCACAAAGGATTTTCCCTATTATGAACGTCTTTGACCCAATACCCTTTGGAGCGCTGTCATAGCTTCTATCCTTCGCTTTCCTCAATGCCATCCTGACTCAATTGGTCAGGACGAACACCCTTTTCTCGGGGGAAGACTGAGCATATTCGTAATCCACCCGAACACCTTATCCCCCACCTAAAGACAATCTTGCGAGGAAAAATGGCGAAGGGAACACCAAACTGTGACGAGCTCTACCTTTTTGCCTGCTGTCATGAATGCCTCTTCGGAAACGCGTACGTCGCTGAGGATGAGCCATGAACGCGTGTTCAGGACAAACAGGTTCCTTCTTAAGAAAGGATCGAGCAAGTTGAGCTGCTCATTTGAGCGGTATTCAAAAACGTCACTTTAAAGTTTCAAAACCCACTATAAACAACCTGAATGCAGCTGTTACTGATATTCGTTCCCACAGAGTACGGTCAAAAAAGTCAGGACAATAATAGACATTGCCCTATGATGAAATATTCCCATTTCGAAACCTTTTTTCAAGGTCCGGGTGTGATGAATACCATGAATATCATAATTTACCAGGGAAATTTCGAGCCCTTGAAAAAATGTGTATCAAGCCATCATCAATTACAACAGTCTGACCTTTTTTACCACTGAATCATATTCAGAGATATAATTTATCAAAATGGCTGCAAACATGTGCTAATTAATATAAATTTAAATGGACTGCACCTGCTTATATGACGAAGAGCAACTCGTTTGGAAACATTCAGCTACTCTTTGGTTTACTTTGGTAAGCAACCGTAGAATATCCGTGTTACGAGCATATTTGGCAAATACCTGAAAAATAACTATGACAAGTAGAAATGAACCACCAAAGCACTACGCTAACGAATGTTCCTCTTGCGAAACCCATATAAGACCCCCTCATTGTGTTGCCTTTTGTCGAGGTCGTAGTGAAGCATTACAAAACCGTCATCGAAGCAAGCTTCCTGAGAGTTTATACTGAGTCAGATTAAGCACTAGGCGAAATGGCCAGGCAGAGCACTTTGTCTTTTTCATTGCCTTTACTGGTAAATATACGTATATAAAATTCACCTCACAAATCGCCTGAACGAACCAACTACCTCGTAGACTATTTCGCCATGAAACATATAACGGTGGAGTTGCGTAGGCAATAAGGAAGTCTGATTCACGAGGCCATTTTATCGGATTTTCCTAAAAAGGCCAGTGATATTTTGGAATTTTCTAAAGAAAGAACGCATTCAACAACAACTTAGAACGTCACTAATCCAATGCTGCAGCTTAAATACCAATAGTGAGCCTGCAAGTAAGTCAATCAGTGAGAGTTTATCGTAGGTATTGAAAAAGACCTAAAAGTAACCGGTCAACACCCACATCTTTACAATTCATATTTTACAAGATATATAAGTAAAAAAATTCCATGTTCAATTGACCTACACACCTGATCTACACTACAAAAGTGGAAAATGAACAAGTAAGTAACATAGTGACGTCATACTCGATTCGTCAGCCACTATGGAACACAGCCAAGTCACAGATGTAAATTTCAGCTGTAGATCAACTACACCTGCTACATCAATATGTTTCATTGTTTACTTTCCCATGTAAACAGAACTATTTGTGGTAACATACAACCCGTCCCCGTTCACACCACAAAAGAATAAATGTAAATACCTGAAGGATCTCAATTTGGCAAGGACAGCAAAAAAACCGAGTGGGTACGCTGGGTGCATAACCAACCAATGATGGACCTTGACCATCCCCAGCGTACTCCTTATTGGTTGACTGCCAAGCTGCCTACCAGGCGTCAAGCCAGCAATTAAGGAATACTATGGATTTACTAAACTCTGTGCCCAATCTGTGATATTGCTCTTGTTGTTTGTGTTTACCTTTGTTGAGGTCTGATGTTTGTTGTTTACGTGCAGGATAACTGAAGCCGCTAATGGTAATTAGGCACTGCAAGCGAATCAAGATCTAAAACCCGATAGAACAAAAAAATTGGAGCAAATCCCTCGAGAAACAGGTTTTTTGCGGACGGGTTCCTCGAAAAATCCCGTGAGCCTGTTCCTTGAACATGGATGATTACTGGAATTTCAAAAATTTGCTTGTACTTCCCACTAGTTCCCATCTCTCCACTTTCCAAGTAATGACGACATCACCGAAAGTAACTTAACACCTTTTAATTCAGTTGAGGGGGTGGCCAATTAGTGGGTAAACTTTTTGCGGCCAAGTAGCCGCATTCGGCTTTCATCTCTTGAATTCAATTGCTTTCCGGAGGGTGGGAGAGGTAAAGGTCGACTATTACAGAGTAATAAGCAGTAGCAATTGTATTAATAAGTAATAAGTATTTGATTTACACTATATTAAGAAACTGTACCTCAGTGACGGTTGGAGATCGCATGCAATTGAACAATCCAAAGGGACCATCACCTTCGTGACGGAAACTGTCAGGTTCATCCACAAAAGTCGCACCAGTATCACGACGATCTGAAAGCAAAAGTCGATTGGACAATCTGGAGAAAGGTTGTCAGTAAAGCAATGGTCTTCTTCGGAGGGCAAAGGAGGCGTAGGGCCACGAGGCGAACTATCACACACGCCTGGTCACGAGTTCGAATGCCGCAGTTTTCTTGAAGCCTACACGAACGCAAACGATCAAGAAGTTTGTTAGTGTTCGATACGAATCGGAGCAGTTGGCCAACAATTTTGTTAACGTATCACGAAATCCGGTCCGTTGGCCCACCTACACAGCAAGTATGGGTCCTATTTTGTAGTCGCTAGCATTAACCCAGTTTTCACCTTCGTTGGACAACTAGTGAGTCTTGATCAGGCTATAGAAAACCGGGCACAAGGGTGTATCCAACTTCAATCTACTAATCAACCTTCTATCCAATTTTGCCGTCTTTCCGATTGATACCCATATTTTTCGTATGGGATAGTTATTAATCACCTCCTCTCTTCACATTCCCTGAAAAAGGCTGTAAATCAAAAAGCCGAATTTTAATTATACCAGAAATTCAGTAGGGCAGCCCAAATATGCATTCATTATGAAAATTGTTTGTGTGATTTCTCCCTAAGATGAACCTGTAATCTCAGGGAATAGTGCAAGGGATCCCAGAGAATTTTACAGGGACGCCGTCAGATCGAAACACTGCCTAAATAGGGCGTAATGAGCGCTTTAAAATCGGCTCAATCGACGTGCCCACCCAAAGGTGGACGAATTTCACGGCGTTGTAGAAGCTGCATTGTTATAATATTCGCACCGAAACGCACACGTTGCTCGTAGGCAGTAGTCAGCTGTACGCAATGGTATACACCCATTTGGACAGCTCGTCCAAATACCCATTTCATGCAACTTTTTTCGTCCCATTCTCGTCCAACCTCAATTTTAGTACCTTCTTTGCCTTATATTCCCTTTTTGCACTATTTTGGACTACAACTTCCATTTCCACTTGAAACGAGATAGCCCAAAATTATAGTGAGCTGTGCCTTTAGCTCCTCATAAAGACACCTTTAACATATTTGAATTTGCATCCAGCCCATTAAGCTTCTTTCCAGATCAAACCTTGTAATTGAGCTTTTCAGATTCCGCATTACTTCATGCAATTCCCAAATTTGTCATGAAGAGCTTTAACTATTTTCGCTCTCCGAAAATGTTCTTCAAAATCGTGTCCAGATAAACATGATGCTTGATTCCTGATAATGCCTTCAATGCAAGTGTCACATCCACGGTTGAATATTTTGAATACTGCCTTTTTTTCGAAATATTTCACTATTCACCTCTAGTAATAATTATCGAGAATAATAAACGTGCCAGACGTAGTAATCCCCAAAATCTAATCTCATTCCCTTAAATCAATTGGAAGCCTCTCATTCTAAGATACGAGTTTCCGCTGATTCATCGCAACTTTTCCCTACAATTCTACAAATTGTTTAGCAGAATTCTAGACTCTCCGAATCCTGACGTCATTATCTACACTCCCTGGCCTAGAATGTGAAAGATTTCCTTAAATTCGGCACTAATTCTTTTTGGAATGTGAATTCTCAGCAGAAAAACTTCTATAAAATTTTGGAATTCTTTTGAAAGTACTATAGATCACCTCAGATAACCCAGAAACTTCTTTCCTAGTCAAAAGAAGGAGCCAGCTAACAAGTTCAGTAGTCATCGTGCAATTCGTATAATTGAGGGTCAGTTGGGGGTCAATTGGGGGAAATTCATTCACCTAGACGGAATCTTTACCAGTTATATAGCCTTCCGCGAAGCCACATTACTTGAAACAGTCACATTTGTCTACCTGTTTCTGTCTTTTGCTTCTAGTTCTGACCTTGCCCTGTATGGGAAGTATAAAACTTCTTCCACTACGAGTAGACCTTTTCCAAAGGAGGAACTTAGAAAAAACCCACAGACTCAGTAACTAGCACCTCAAACTGAACGCCCTTCAATTTTTAAACACTAACTCGAAGTTATGACTGTATCTGAACATGCATTTTGACTGCAAAGTACCACACATGATGTAGTCCTTGACAACATGGAGCCCATTCAGCAACCCCTAAATGGCTTGGCTTCTTTCCACGTCGTTTAATAGACCTCATAATGTCCAAGAACAATCGAGGACAAGAATAAAGACGATTTTGCAGTAACATCATAAAAAATCCGCTGAATTCACCGTGGACACTTCGAGCTATTCCATAAGTGATTCCACGGGATGGGATCTCAAAAAATGTCAACCGCTGAGGGGAGTTCAAATGTAGACACCTAATGAGAGCTAAATTTATCGTTTTCAACGAGGAAGTAAACTCGCTTAAAACACTCCATTCAACGGTCTCGTATGCATGGCCGCTAATGATTTGCTCATCGCAACCTTACGCATTGTTGACGGACTTGCGTCATCCATTATGTAAGCAATCAAGACACACTACAAACCGTCTTTTAAAAATATTCACTTCAACGGATCATTTGAACGGAGGCGAATTTTGTTTTGTCACGAAGTTCATACGCATCAGTTTTCCTCTACAACCATGGCTAGGGAACAAAATAATAGCACAAAGGGGCGTAAAAACCTATTCACAAGAAAAGAAGGAACAGGAGGTAAAGAAGGGAAAACGATAGAAGTGAATGGAACTAATGGGAGATAAAGAACGCGATCGTATTTTAATAGGCATGATTATTACATCATCGTATTATCCTTACTAATTATGATCATTACTTCATTTTTCCAGTCTTGCTAATCGGACTACACCATAGGTTCCCATTAAGTTTAAAAAACCCCAAAAACTGAAGAATCAATCTGGGTGGTCAGTTTGACCAGTTTAGAATTTGGGAACCCGTGCAGCGAAGATCCCTCGCGGAAGAAAGACCTGAGAAAAACCAAAGTATGGGAGTACTATTTCTACATAGAATTCCGGGATGTTTGCAACTTGTGCTATATTCAAATGTAGTTTGTTTATTTACTTATTCTTCCGTTCTCCCCACTGGGCCCACGGCCATAACTAGCGTATCACTTGACAGTACATCCGTTGGCTCTGATTCCTTCATGGCCTACGCGCCTAGAGAGCTCAATTTCTCAAGAATTAGGTAAACCCTGAATAAGAGAATGGTCTGCCAGGTTTATTAGACGGAAAATCAGGAACTACGTCCTTCTGGTACATGATCCGAAAGCGACAGCTAACAATTTCCGCCTAGGGTCATGCACTCGGAAAAAATGTCACGAAACTCGCTAGCAGACATCAGAGAATGGTCTATATGCAAACACTCACCTCCTCGACATGCCTGGATAAAAATCAGTTTTGGTTTCCCGGCAAGTAGTGGTGCATTCCGAGCATTTAGGGCCTCTAGGAATGGATACACTGACAGTACATCATCGTCTCCGCCAACTCCTCAAATGCATTCGTTTTAAGCTGGACGACATCCGAATAGTACAAAATTTAATCCTGCCTCATTACATCTATAGGGCTATAACATAAGTTCGTAGAGTTTTGCGTTAGAGTTATTTTACAAAGATTTGTTTCGTTTTTCAGCAAAGTGTA